TATGAATAAAAAAAAATGTATGTTCCTATTTAAGAAACCCAAGGTGACCTTGACTTTGCCAAGAGAACAAACTGTTTTCAAAATTTGCTTTACTAATATCTATTGTGCACTTCATACCCTGCAAATTTTATTCTAAACTTTTTTTCGTAAGGTGGCTGCAAGTGGGAGAAAAATCGTGAGTAGCGTTACAGGTAACACCCTGTATATACCGAAACATTTCACATAATATCGTATTAATGTATAGTGTTAAAATTATTAAAACGTTTAAAGACTATTAAAAATTGATTATATTTTATATAAAGAATTTCAAATATGTTACACATTATTAATTATTTATAGTCTATAGTAACATCCTTTTTCATACATAAAACGTTGTAGAAAATTAACTTATGTACAAAAAATAATTCTATTAAAAACGACAAAGTTGAACTTCAAACCTGAAGATCCTCTCCGTGTAAAAAATTATATTGCTATATTACGATCCCCTTCGTAGATTAAAGTTTTATTGATTGAATTGATATATTCTGGTAAGAACATTATAAATTTTTAAATACGTAAACTACGGAACGACATTTCACATCTTATATATATTTTTACAATTTTATTTATTTACATAATTATTTATATGGAATGTAAATTAAGTATAATACGTGATTTAGTTGATTGTACAGTTATATGTAACAGAAACTGTTTTAACAAATTATATAGTATATACATCTATCTTCCGTGATAAAAAATATGGAGATTAAACTTGACACAATATATATTCCATTCGTGCCCAGCGAGGCGACAGTATAAGATGAATGTATGTGTGTTAGTAATGCTACAGGATAGTTCCTAACAGGTATTTATCAAGCGAATAATTATGGGGAGAGAATACTTTCGCAGTAAAATCTCAGCAAGAATTTTCACGGTCAAATACATACATGTTGAATTGTTCAGGCATCTACCAAGATGCTTGCGATTTACGTCACTATTTTGAATTTGAACACTCGTTATTGCTTTATTCTACTTGGTTTCGACGATCTTCATTCGCTTTTTCGTCATATGCTACATAAGCTCATATTAATTTGTGTGATAAGATATGATCACACATTAAAACGTGTGACTATTTTGGTAAATGACGAAAATGTGTGTGCTTTATTATTAGTATTAACGAAGGTGGGTACATGGCGATACAACCAATCAGACTCGTAATCCTTCTGCTGATCATCTTTCCACCTCTGCACTGCAACTTCACCAATATAATTTTAGAATTAACTTCTTTTTATTTATTAATTACTAAATTATATTGCATCATTGCTATATATTAAAATAAAGAAATTTTTTTACTTATTTTCTGCGTGATGAGCTGCTCTCATCCGTAACAATACTCTAACAGGCTGTACCATTTCCTTAAACAGCGTGTATTATGTTTTATTCGGTGCATTTTACCCTTTCGATAATGTAATAGTATCAAACATGGAAAATGTTCTGAACTATTATCCATCTTCAAAATGGCTTTACATAGACAAAACTATACAAATACATTTATCCTTGGTATCAGTATGTGGAAACTTCGCCTTTGAGAATATATGCAGAGATCATCACCTTAAAAATAAATGATAATAGTTAAAGATTTTAATGTTAGTAACCATCGCAAACACTACGAACTTCCCGAACAGCTAATAACAGAACAAAAAGAAAATAAACATTATGGCATTTATAATAATTAATCATTGCAGTTTTGAGAAATTTAATCTGTACGGTACTCACCCATTTATGGACGTACGACTGATGAACCAGGATAAAGCAGATCTTGCCAAAGAATGCCACGCCTGCAGTGGTAAAGAATCCGATCTCTCAACGGATTTCGTTAAAAATTCTTCAGCGGTTTGGTCAGGCTGATCATGTTGAGGTCCTACTCCTAAGGGAATCCATAAATGGAGTAAATCCTCTCGTATTTTTGTTGTATCCACTTTGTACCACTGTAATAAGAAGCACAGCTACATTAAACATTGATACAAACTATATATATTATGTGATTTCAGTGTAACGATGCAACGAAAAATGGAGAAATTAGCATAAAAAAGTAAGTTAAACATACAAAATAAAAGGTTTTTATTTACGATTTCATTTTTAAGAAAATTCAACTTGTAAAAAAGATTTGCTTGCAACAAGCAAATAATAATTTCAACAAGTTATTTATAAATTTAACATTCAATAAATGTTATAAGTCGTTACTAAATGTAATTATTAACCTAAAAGAAATTAATGATTAATATCAACAAATGACCAACAAAATTTCGTCGTACGTATAACTATATTTTGGCATCTATAACATTCATTTATTGCTAAATTAAAGAAAGATTAGGTTTGATATTTTGGTATCATGACAAGAATTGTTTGCAAATATTTGAAAGGTTTGGAAAATCTTTTAAATGAGGTCCTTCAAATGAAACAATATCAAAGAAAAAAAAATTACATGCACAAAAAAAGATTTTAGCCCCGTAGTAAAACTGAAAGATCGTTATTATAGTTTTAGCCCTGTTTTTCTTACTTAATTTCGTACAAAAATTCTAAAATTTTTTTAAGGTTTTTAAATTTTTTTATCACGAGCTGTGGGAGTAAAGAATGAAGAACCGGAAAATAAATGTAAAAGAATATGATTTCTTAATAAAGACGTAAACCACTACTTTTATATTACAGTGGTAATAACATGACATAACTATTATTCCGTAATTTTTGCAAATTTTTCGGTAAGATACGCCATAGTTAAATTAATCAAAAACCAAAATTTTGCGTAAAAGAGTACTTTCCGTCCTGAAGTTGCCTTCTATTTTCAGTTTATTTATTAAGTAGACATAAATAGATTCATATTTATAATTCATACAAATGAGACATTAATTAAAGAAACAAAAATCGTTTACTAATACTGTGCCGCAGTTGATTATATTTTGGAATGCAAAAAATTACTGCATCGATGTCAATTGCGAAGCGATTAAGAGTCTTGGAGTGAACTTATTATTAGTTTTCTTTTAATATTATTAATTTTTATCCTGTAAGTGTAGAAATGTACAAGGTGAAGTGGGGTAAGTTCGTAAACGGGGCAAGTGCGTATACAGGCTATTTTTATTACAATATGAGCGAAATTTCTCTATTTAGTATGTTTGTTTCCTTGTTTTGTTTCACTATATCCCCTTTTATACACTGCTCAAAAGAAATCTGGCATAGAAAAATTTTAGGCAAAAATTGGCCAAATTTGACTGATGGTAACTTCGTGTAAAATCATCGCAAAGTTATACTCTTTCTTTTAAATTAAAGCTTGAGATCTCTACTTTAAGACCCTGTAGTTTGATTTTAGATTTGATGCATCCCTACCACAATAACACCGTAAATGTGAGGTCATGTTCGCAATATTGAAAATTACAAAGTTTGACTTGCCACATTTTTTTTGGTGATACTGTTTGCAGCAGCATAAAGTACAAACCTGCATCTTTAATTTCCAGTATGTGAATAACCGCTACCATTTTTGTTATTGCAAGACAACCGGTAACTTTTGAAATAAAATTTTCTCGATTTTAGTGCGCTTTTAATATCTTATCACGGACACGATTCTGAACAATTTTGTTCATATACAAAGTTCGCGGAAAGCTTTAGCTTTCAAGATATTAGCGAAAAATTGTTATTAACTTTTGAAATCAACTTCGAACGATTTCAATGTCCTTCTAATACGTTATTAGTGGCATGATTCTGAACGAGTTTTTCCTTATGCATAATTGACGGAAAACTCTAGTTTTCGTGATATTAGCGAAAAACTATTGTTGATTTTAAGAAGAAAAATACGCCGACTTAGAAATGCACTAAAAAGTATAAAATAATTTCTATTTCCTAATGAAGTAATTTCTATTTCATTCAATCATACA